CTCTCTCATAGTCTAAGTTCTTGTACATCGCCACTGCTAAAAGTGGGCCAAAGAAACACAGATGTATAAACACATACATCTTTGTCAGTATTACAAGAAATGTGAAATCTTGATATATTCGAAGAGTTATCAGATGTTAGAAATTACAGCATAGAGTGGAAATTTTAAAACTAAAACAAACTTTTACAAATTAACTTCTGTATTCTGTACTATCCAAATCTTCCCTCCAGTCCTCACTACTGAACATGAAAAGAGAAAAAGACAATTCAGCCTTGAAGAATTTATGGGGATCCTGAGCAGAAAGTGGTAAAGAACAAATAAGTTCACATTAGCAGGGTACTTTAGCATCATGTTCTAAAGTCTCTTCTGAGAAACAATTGTTCAAGAAAAAAAAAAAAGAGAGGGAACAAAACAAAAACAAAGGTCTCAAAAGCAGAACAGGGACCAGCTACATGCGATAAGATGTACAGAGCACAAGTGAGATGCTGCTGACAGTGCAGGCATGAAGTGACAGTGACAGGTGGAGACGGAGAGGTAGTGTCCATGCTGTCAGGTGCCTTCTGTACATGGAAGTATTGAAAGGAGCTTTTCACTAGGGTTTCCCAGAGCTGCAGAGAGGCCTGGGATACTTCCTTTCAGAGATGGAAGTCCCAAAATGAAGAAATTCTTAAACATCACCAGAAAAACAAACCGCATTTTCAGTGTAAACAATTAAAAAAATGAAAGCTGAATGCTACATGTATTCAACTTTCAATCTTGCCTGTGTATCACATGGTAATTTATGGCACCCCATTTCAGGATAAGCTAAATTTACGGCCCTTTATGAGTGTCAGATATAGTCAATGAGTTCTCCTTTCTGTTACCCACTTTTATTCATAGTCAGAGAGTGGTTAAACTCTTCCTAGAGAAAAAGAGAAAATATATGAAAGAGGGAACCTAAACAAAAAGGAAAAGGAGGGGAAAGAGGGAAAATAAAAATACAGTGCATGATGTAGATGACTTATCATGGATTTGTGAGTAGAAAACTTTATAGAGTGTAATAAAATAATGTTTGCTAAGTGATAATTGAAGCCCTTAGCACTGTTGATGGTATGAACTAAACGGACAGTTCTTATTCCCTGGCTCCAAATAGTTTCAAGCAAGAGAGAAAACACTAACCTACTTCAGAGGACAGGGCTAAAATCTGATACTTACTATACATACAATAAGATTTGGGAGGAAGGAGAGGCTAATACCAGCGACCAATTTTCTCCATTTGTACAAGTGAAAGTAAAATAGTAACACAGCCTATCTCACAGCATTATTTCAGTATTACTGGTGGAGCATTTATCCAAGTACTGGACAGAGTATGTGTTTAGCAATACTGCTTATTAATTAATTAAACTGTATAACAAAATATAAAGCATTTTAATAAGTGGGGAAACGTCAATAAAAAAAGACATTTATATTAGAAATACAAACTATAGCAACTATGGTATACTATTTAATAGTTACTAAATTTTCAATGGGATGAAAACAACACAATTTTCAAGGTTATGATTAAGCTGACCATTTTATTGCCAATTAAACATATCAACACTTTGAGCAAACAATATGACAATATGTAACATTAAAAAAAAAAAGTCATGTGATTTAATCAAGTATTCCAGGGTTAGCATTTCTCCTAAAAAATAAAAGAAACATTGACAAACAATAGGAGTTTTACTCCAATTATAGCTTTTTTAGTATAAGACTGGAATCAACTTAAAATTCAAATAAAGAAAGGTGTAGGAATGGTTTGGTATATTATAGTGCCATCAACCTGGTATATGTTATTAAACATGGTGACCATATCTACAGAATTCAACTGGTAAAACATGTATAATAAAAGACTAAAACAAACCCCACAAACAATCAAGAGTAAAATTATGGAACAATATGGATCAAAGTTAAAGATTTTTGGTCATTGAGGACTTTGATCAGCATAGTAAATAGACCGTGAGAGACTTGGAGGAGATATTTGCAAAGTCTAAAGTTGACAAGGTATTACTACCTGGAGCATATTAGGAGTTCTTTCAAAAACAAAGTAAGTAGGTCAATAGAAAATCATCAAAGTTGAAACATAGGCAATTCTCAGAAGGCAGAACCTGACTAACTCAAAATAGATGAAGTGATGCTCAACTAAAATGCCAATGAGAGGAATAAAAATAAATGTAGTAACATTCTATTGCCATCAACTTGCAAAACTGAGTTATATAATGCTGTGTAATGAGATGATGGCAGGGCAGGTTCCCTTCTGCTTTGAAGAAGGAGTGTGAACTTGTGCACTCATTCAGGGAGGAGTCTGGCAGTAGCATTCAATGGATTTATAGATGTGTGTATCTTACCACCAAGCAATCCTTCACTCCTGGGTACAGGCCCCAGAGAGAATGGCTAACAGGTTCGTAAGGGGACATATATGTGTGATTTATTGCAATGTTGTTTGAGATGGAAGGAGTTAGGGACAATTTAGGTGTCCACTCCTGGGAGGTTAAGTTAAATTTGGTGTATTTACACAATGACAAAATGGGCAGCAGTTGGAAGAAATGAACTCATTTTAAATATATAGATATAGATTCATGTCCAGACACTAACACTGAAGAAATATAATAAGAAACAGAACGAAGTTTAAAACACAAAAGGGCTTATGAAACTTAGAGCACATTCACATACACACAACTACACACTATTTGCTAGAATGCCACACATATAACCACATAAATATATAGAGAGTGGATTTGATGAACATACATTCTACAGGGGACTGAAGTGAGGATTGGAGGCTGAAAATAAAATAAAACCAGTTAGGGGTCTTGCCCAGAATGATGATAATAAAAGGCCACACACTGAAGAGTAAAATCAACTCAGTTCGGTGCACCTGATGCTAAAAAAAAAGAAAGAAACTGAAATGTATATAACTTTAAATGAAAAAAGCTGAAAGAATGTATAATTGTATGCAAACTGGTTGAAACAACAATAAAACAGAGCACAAGCTAATGTTTATATGAATTTAAACTAGAACACAAAAATGATTTGCAAACTGATTAAAGTAACAACAAATGAAACGAATATAAAATGATATGTACACTGATTGAAACTGACTAAAAAAATGTATTCACGGGAATTGGTTAGGGAAAGGGCCTTATTCTGCCCCTCTGCATTTTCTTGACACCATCTTATAAGAAAAAAATTTTATCAGGACAGTTTATGGGCAAAAACACTATGAAACCATTCTGGTGGGACATCATCTTTATTTTCTGGAATTCCTTTCATTGGTATCTCCTCCTTTTCCATGCGTGAGAGCTTGAGGGAAAGCTCTCACCTCCTCTCCCCTACCAAGCCCCAGTGAAAGCTAAAGTGATAACTTAGACGAGGCCTTGGGTCCTTTTCTGTCCTTCCTTTGGGCTTTGTGCGCACATAACTGGTAAGGTAAGAAAGGGTCTTGATTATTCACCTTGGAAAGAGCCATTGCTGCCCTCAGCACCACTCCCATGAGCTGGTGTCACCGGGAGTGAGGTCCAAGGAAAAGGAGGACACAAGGATTAATCAGTCAAAGCCAAAAACTCCTCCTGTCACCCTTTGACAATACAACTCCCTAAGCCAGATTATCCACTGAGGTGGGGACAAGTCCAGTGTCTTAAAGCAGCCTTGAGCCTTGCATTTGACTCTGTCTCCTATTCATGTTTCTCCTGGACTCTTCAAGGGGATGTGGCTGCAGGGTTACTGCAGAGAAACAGTGTAAAAGAGGGTTCAAGGCCCTCTTTACTGTCTGAGAATAAAACACAATATAAGAAAAAAAAAGAGCCCGTTCTTTAAAATTGAAACAGCTATTTTAAGCAGTAGTAGAATTATGGATGATTATTTTCTCCAGTTTTACTCCTTTTAAATAAACATATACACACTCCATTACAGGCAGCAAAAAAAGCATACTTCATGGTCTAATGTTGGCCAGAATGCCGTCCTAGTAATGAATTGCATGATACAATTAACAAATGTCCCATTGTATAGCTAATTAGTACATTCATCCTTTATGGTTTAATAATATAGTCATAAGTAAATGCTTTGTCTCCCAATTTGAGCGCCTTCTACATATCTTTGTAGCTTGCATATCACCTAGCACAAAGCTAAGTATGTAATAGCACCTATATGAGAAATAGGAAAAATTCTAAAATGGAAATGATTATTTCTAAGTATCCCACACGCAGAGAATGTCTAGCATCTTTCTCTACCTATCAACCTTATTTTTTCCTTCAAGGCTTTTGTTGTTGTTGCATGGGAAATTCTTATTTCCTTTTTCTAATTTCTCTCACCTTACTCTGTGTTCATTTCACCTCCAAATGTGGCAACATTCAACTTTTTATTTGGCAGGTGATTTTATTTTCCTTTTTATCTTTCTCAAATGAATTTTATCTGAGTAGTAAATGTACTTCAAATCCTCCATTCTTCAAAAATTATGCTCCCAACATATTGTAGGGAGATTTTTGTATACTGCAAAAAGAGTACACTGATCCCTTCATCCGTTAAACCCAAAATCAAGACTCATTATCCTATTTATTTGCATTTTTTTTTTTAAGATTCAAGATCCAGGGGTGCCTGGGCAGCTCAGTCGGTTAAGTGTCCAACTCTTGGTTTTGGCTCAGGTCATGAGCTTTCGATTCATGAGATCAAGCCCCGCGTCTCTCTCTCCCTGCCCCTGCCCTGCTCTCAAAATAAATAAATAAACTTAAAAGAAAAAGAAATTTTCAAGTTCCAGAAGGACAAGAGCACTTCATTTAATATTATGTGCAATGATATTGAAGGTAGTGCTTTATTAGAAAACTGTAATTACATTAAAATAATAGTGTTTATCATAGTGATAGCAGAGGGGAATATCCTGGTATTGTACCATAGGGCCCTCCTTTCTAAACAACAGCAGTGACACAAGTTGAGGAGGTGGGGAACTATCACAGTTATGTAAAAGTGAATTAAGTCACCTTTATTACCTTAGTTTCTTTCCTCCATCTGCAATTTTAGCTTTTTGAAGATAACCTTCTTTTTCAACCATCTGCAAAAAGAAAGCATATATTAAAACTGCGTCAAACTCCTATGCATTATTATTTTGAGTGAACCTATGCTCTCCAACAGTCATTGCAGTGATGGAAGTTTCCAGTCATAGAACTTCATTAATAATGCATATATAGCTTATGGGAAGTGCCTGCAAGATCATAGTCATTACAAGCCGTTAAATATCCAAAAGAAAGATTGCAAAGAATAATGTGAATGATTTATTAGATGGCAATACACCTTTACTCACTTTTCTTTCAGGGTGTTGAAGTCCCTTGCTACAAAGTTGATTAAAAATGATAAAACAAAAACAAATTTAATGCTTTTCTTAATTTAATGATCATCCTTAGAAAAGGTCCTTTCCACACCTAATCCTCACTACCTCATGTATCTGCTGAGGCCAGGAAGTGAAAAGAATTCAGTGGAACCAAGTAACAGAGCCAGTTGAACTATGAAAGGGCATTTAAAACAGTGATATTTCATGCATTTCCTTCGGTCACTAAGACACACTATAGTAGCACTATTTCATTATCTTCTTCCATAATGTGGGTTTGCTTCCTTTCCCGTTTGTACTTATTGGCTTTCATCGTTAATACAGCTGCAAGTTTCTTAAAGGAGTTTCAATAATTTGTTATAACTTCATAGAGGTTTTTGTGGAGTTCTAGGGTAAATAAATGTACAATGCTAATTGCGATGTGTTAACTCCCAGCAAAGTCTATAGTAGGCATTTTAATTTCTGAGCACCTCATTGCCTTGTTCCTCTGTCAGTCCCACACACCCTTATCTCAAGTCCTTATCCTGTGTTCCATCTTTTCACACTAGATGAATTGACAACAACCTTCTCCCCCACACTATATGCTAGAAGCTTCTAGAAGACACCTGCCTAACATCAAAGGACCACATTCCCTCAGTTCCACCCTTTCCCCCTGACTGTAGTACTCCACCCCACCATGTCTCCATCTCATAAACTCCTAAATGCATTAAATCTACTTTAAAATTCAATTTATCTGTGTATTGTTATAGGATCCTTCCAAGATTCCTCTGTAATCTCTTTTAGGTGTCCCTGCCCTGAATCCCCATTTTCATTCTGCCATTATCACTATAACAGCACTTATTGGGTCATAGTGTAGTTGTCCATTTACAGAGGTCCCCCCGAGCTGCAGGGGATATACACCAAGACTCCCAGTAGATGCCTGAAATCATGGATCACACCGAACTGTATATATACTATGTTCTTTCCTATACATCCATATCTGAGATAAGGTTGAACTTATAAATTAGGCATAATAAAATTAACAACAGCTAATAATAAAATAATTATTATACCAATATACCGTAATAAAAGTTATACGAACGTAGTCTATCTCTCAAAACATCCTATTGAACTGTACTCATCCTTCTTGTGATGAGGTGAGATGACAAAATGCCTACATGATGAGATGAAATGAGATGAATGATGTGGGCACTGTGACATAGCGTTGGGCTACTATTGGCCTTCTAATGGTATGTATGTCTGAAGGAGGATACCCTACTTCTGGATTCTATGGACCATGGGTAACTGGAACCGTGGAAAACGAAACTGTGAACTATGGGGACTACTGTATGTGGTGGTACCTGCACCTGTGCTGTGACTCTGACTTTCACTCCTGGATTCCCAGCACCTACAGTACTTGCTGACACCAATAATCACAATTATAAATATTGTTTAAACAAATTAGTGGGTGCATGAGTGACTATTCTAATGTTTTTTTTTAATCTTTTTTTTTTTTAATTTTTTTTTTCAACGTTTATTTATTTTTGGGACAGAGAGAGACAGAGCATGAATGGGGGAGGGGCAGAGAGAGAGGGAGACACAGAATCGGAAACAGGCTCCAGGCTCCGAGCCATCAGCCCAGAGCCCGACGCGGGGCTCGAACTCACGGACCGCGAGATCGTGACCTGGCTGAAGTCGGACGCTTAACCGACTGCGCCACCCAGGCGCCCCTTTTTTTTAATCTTTATAGAATAGTGAAAAAGCCAAAAACATCCATCTGCATACGTCAGGTGAAAGGAAGGGATACTTGGGGATAAATGAATTGTCCCAAACCACTAAAATTTCACCAGTTCGTGAATTGGTATTTACAAGACTCACTCTGATGTAGGTGAGATCTTTTCTCCTAATTGTTCATTATGATATTCCTAATACATAGCACAGTACTTGCCTTTAAAAATATATTTGATGAATGTACTTTAATAACAATGATGAAGATACTAATAATGATTCATAGCAAAGTTTTTTCCACATATCTACATTTCCAGAAAATTTCTTCTACTTCAGCATGTTCTCTACAGTCTAAAAGAGTCTGTGGAGGTCTCTTGGATAATTTTCAGAATCGTGATGCTCAGTGGTGTCTTTTTTGTACTTGGATGCAACTACTTGTTTGTTTTTCCCACCTTTTATTCCACGTATACTGTCCCTTTTTTTGTGGTGCCAGAAAATTTTGTTTGTCTACCCCCTAAAGCCCATGTAATAAGTTCAGTGTTTAACTCTGGGCATTACTGATTTTTACAAGTGTTTGGAAGAAGGATGTTCTCAGTAGCAATTAGCATCACTGAGACAGTCCCTTTCTTTAGTAATGTATATTGAGAAATTTTGTTGTGTAAGCACAGACAAAATTTACTGTTTTATTAAAGCTTTCTTCTGATGAAAATAAAGTAGTTACAAAAGTCTGAATTTATCTGTCAAAAAGCTACAAAAGCTCTCAAACCATCATAAAAATTGATGCATGCATTCTCAACTAAGAATATTGCCTTTTCCCTGCCAAAAAATTTACCAAAAGACCAGTGGGTGGAGGTTTAGTGCCCAGAATGTATTGTTGATGATCATTTCTTTAAAAAGGGAAGGAAATTCAAAATGAAAAAAAAAAAAAAAAAAAACTAATAACTCTTTCAGAAAGAAGCAAACACAAGCCAGCTTGAGACACAGACTTTAAAATTCTCTCTCCCTGAACACATAAGAAATGCTTCTCCAGACACTGCTGGACTTTTTCAGAATACGGAGATTAAGACCAGGGACTGGATTTCTCATGTCAGGGCTCTATCAGTGTAACATCATTGCCATCAAACAGGCTGAGCCAGTTCCCATGATCTTGAGTCAAGGCAATAGAGTTTCCAGGCATGACCACACAGAGGCCCAGGAAAAAGGAAAGAAGAGGGGTGAAGAGCAAGTTAGTTTTCTTCTCCTATATCATCTCCCAAAGTCCAGGCTGCCTTTCAGGTCATTAGAGGTAGCTAATAATCATCCTACTACATACTCTTACTACACTTACTAGTGCCATATATATGTTTACATATCTACATGTATTTACACGTGGTTATATACATGTACAATCATCATGCACACATTCCCATTTCTGGGATCAGGTGTCCATTCTTCTCAATTACCGCTTCGATACTTCATGTACACTCATTCATCCTTTCAATATATTTTCAATTAGTAACATCCTCTTCCCCTTTAATATCATCTGCTCTGCTCACAATGAGACTGCAAAGATTAATAGGACACTCTTAATCTTATCAAAGCTTATATGCTTGTGAGCTCACATTCAAAAACACTCGTGTTCCTCTCTTTTGCAGAATGGATACCACACCCCATCTAGTCATCTCAGCAACTCAAGCCAGCTTCTGCCCTGGAACAGAACATTCCAACCAGTCTTCCTACACTGAAAACACTGCATTATTGTAAGTCCAATGCTGCAAGCAACACTTCACTCTTCATTATTTCTTGTCATGATACTTTGAAATACCCCACCGTATTTCAGGCATTAGAAATCAATTATTCCGGAAGGATCATAGGAGCTGAAAGAAGTATTAGGACAAGCAGAAGATTGCTATGTATTTTGTCTGTGGATGTACATATAGTATCATATTCATTATTTTAAGTATTTATTCCTACTCTGTGTTAATCCCATGGAATGAAGGGATGTTAATGTTTCAATTACAGTTGAGTATGCTGGTCATCTTAGGCTCGGATGGTCTTATCTCTAGTAATTTACAAAATTCTGTAAAGTTTTATATCTAAGTTTAGGATATTATGTGGCAAGTTCCAGGCCAACCTGAAATTCCCTTGAAGTAAAAGTACTCCCTAAACTCTGTATACTTAAGAAATGTCAACCAATCTTTAGATGCTGAATCTGGTTTCTTAAGCAATTTGTCCAATGTCCCTTCGACACCCTATTTTTTAATGTTAAATGGCAGGGAAGATCAGCAATTTGTCCGGATTGGATGCCAGCCAGTCTGCTAGCATTGAAGAAGTACTCAGCAGACACAACTGTGCTGAGATACAGATGAGAAGAATGAATGGCTGTGGGATACCCAGATAGCACCTGTTTATCAACCTAAGTTGGAGGCTATAGACAAGGCAGGAGAGCAGAAGACAACCTTTGATTAATGGTAACAATCGTGGAAGAAAGACCAGCCTGTAACCATAAGTACAGACATCGCAATTTATTATGTGAAGACTTCATGTTGTTCTCAGATAAAAGAAGTAGACTTGAAAAGAATAGGTTTTCATCTACAACAGTCCACCACAAGAATTCTGTGAAAATGCATCTTTATGAATAGAAATGAACTGAATCTAAAGACTTCCTCCAGATTTTGATGAGAAAGGATTGTGACTTTTAACACCAGAATCACACAGCCCTTATGCCTTACAATAATTTGCTCTGTTGATGTTTTTAAGTTATTGTTCTTTTACTCTTTGTTATGATTCTGTGTTCACTGGCAACCTCTGACTCCTAATTCAGCTTCTGAGATCCTCTGAGGTACAACATTGGTGACTTAAACAGTCAATATTAGTGTGTCTCCCATTATAAATTTACAAATCAGAGTTATTGTTTATACATGAGCTTCTTACAAATTTGGTTACTGTGAGCTAGTCCCAAGGCATCATGATCATTGATAAATAAAGTTTTTCTAGATCCACAAAGCTGAGGCGGGCCCCCTGCCCTGAACTGGACTGAG